CCCAAACCAAAAAAAAAAGAAGTAAAAGTAAAAGAAACATGATGAGAATGGGCAGCCATCACATGTACAAGAATATCGTATGTCATACCTCCAACAAGGGGTTTGAAAACTGAACCACCAAATTCTGCACACACACCAAGTCCATAAACAGCAGCCTGGAAATAACATATGTGGTGTTAATACCATATATTAAAACATAACTCGAACATTGTGATTGAAGAGGTCTTAATACCTGTCTGACATCTGGACCCTCATCGTTACAGGCTTCTAAAAGGAAAGGAAGATATGTATCGTAGTATCTGGATCACACACAAACAAGTTGTTACAATTGTATAATTTTCAGTAAACAAAAGAATATCGCTCAAATATGCATAGAATAAATACTTCAAAGCTGCTTCGCGACACTGCTCCGCAACATCATCAAAGATGCAAATTGCTATCCGTCTCTCTTCAGCAGTTTTGTCTTTACCCTACAATTGTAGCAAGTAAACAAATAAGCATAAATATATGACGTTCCGTCACTGTTAAAGGTGGGCATGGCCAGGATCGGACTTTCAATACTCTATTTTTAATTGAAATGAAGTACATTACTGTGTAAATGCACTTCAAAGAAATTCACTTTAGATCAATTAGCAATATGTATTATGATCCTGCTAAATAACTTTATGCTTAAGTTGTACTCCCTTGAACATTCTTACGGTTTCCATTTTGACATTGCCTGGAATTTGCGAAAGATAAAATTCATTTGAGATTTATGATGAGAAATTATTTGAACCATACAATTTTTTTGCTTGAAAGGAAAGGAGATGATAAAAAAGAATAGAGGGCATAATTTGTGAGAGAATAAAAATCAGATCTGGAGTATATAAACAGTGTTTTTATTATTGTGGAACTGCTGTCCAGAACAATGTGTCCATACATATAAATAGAGGACTAAACAACACAACCATTACAAATAGACACAACAGTTACTAACCAACACAAATGTTAGAAACTGCCATAAAACTGCCTGCCTAACTGCCTAACTGCCTGCCCTTTTTTTACTTATTTATTTTTAAATTTAAACTATATTCTGGACTGGAATTAACCAACAATTTGAACCATATCAATACTTTCCTCACGTTTTCTTTTTTTGTTTGTCCCAAAAAGATGTGTTCATTTCTATAACCAAAAAATTGTGGCTCAATTTTTTTCTCAGCTCCCCATAAAACTCAATCTTATTTTTCACTTGATAACAAGTTGTGCCTAGTTAAACTGCACACAAGTTTTTTTGGGATAAAGGGAGTATAATACTATAACATGTTTATTTGTACAGCAAATACATATGTAAATAAGTGAATATATAAACATTCTATTAGATATTATATATAGACAATAGTTTTAAAATTAATTTTAAGACATGTTAGGGCCTGGCAAGCCAATAAGAATTAAAGTTGTTGACTGGCCTTGAATAAGGAGTGTTAGGCCAACTGGGACGGGGCCTGGCCTGGTCCACAGGTTAACTTTAGTCAAATACCTTAATACCCTTTTCAAAAATTATCTCTGTTTATATCGCATGTACAAATAAAACAAATGACTCGTTAAATAGAGCTTACTAAAAGTTAACATGGAACTACTTACCCACATAGGCATTAGATAAGATGACAGTTCATCAAAGAACGGCAAGAAAGAAGCCTTGAATGTCTTTATCAATGTACCCATGATTTCACCAACCTAGTGGCCAATAAAATGTGAAAATTAATGGGGTAAAAAGGCAATGTACCAAATATTTCAGTCAGCTTTCAAAATAAGGTCCCCAAAAGCATCGTATCATTTTAAACATACTTGGTCAAAAACTTCTTCTTCCTGCTCATTTTCCTCTTTTAGCAATTCGCTTTCTTCTGCATCAAAATCTTCAGCTTTTTCTCTCTCTGCACGTTCTCTTTTCCGACTTGAACTGGCGGTAATAACCTGTTTAATTTCATCCACAATGCTTCGAACCTGAGCTTCATCTAGGAGAGGTCCAGAGATCTGGAAGAAGACAGCCAAAAGAGAATCACCGATGTGAGGCAAACAATGTAAAACTATTTGATAAAAATGATATTTTATTGCTATTTAGTTGACTTTCATAATGCAGTAATTGGGCATTCATGTGAGATAGAACAACCTGCAAACATTCATTCAATGCATCCAACATGTTTGCACATATTTCGGTATCAGGTTCCTGGAAGCAATTGCAAAGTAAAATATCAGTATCTAATGTTTAAACCTTCCTAAACAGGTAGGGAATGAGTAATGACAATTGATCATCACCTTATGCAAAGCTTCAACCAAAGCGGGTATTATATAGTCGGACAGTTGTTTGACATAAGTCTCATTACGGCCTTGAGCGAGTCCCTTTTCAACGGCTAGCTTTGCCGAATGTAACAACTGTGGCATGGCTATAAACAGATAACAATTGAGTTATGCCAAACACACATGTGCATTACAGTTAGAGCAGCAGTTTAACATATTATTAGGGATTGCACCTGAAACAGCAGCTTTCCTGACTTCTTCATGGAAATAGAATTTCAGAAGAGGTACCAACGTTGGAGCAACCTGTTTGAAGTTTCAGAAATGCTTGTTGATCTACAAAACAAAGAAGAAATTGGAAATTGATAGATTAACGAATACTGACCTGATCAATCCATGGGTAAAAGCCTTCCTTCAACTCATCAGCATAACAACATAGCATATTACAAGCAGTAGCCTTTTCCTCAAGAACACTTGTTTTTATCCCTATTCTTTTATCCCCAAGAGTAATAGTCTCCATGCTGCAGCATTAAAAGATTTAAGCATATTTATTATGCAATATAAAGTTTCATACGGAGTAAAATAAATTCAATACTTTTTATCAATACAACTATTTGCATTCAATAAAAAACAATGCTTCTGATTCAATTTACAAATTTGTGTCAAATGAATTAAAAAATTACTCAAAGATGCATCCAATTTCAGACAACACACTAGAATGATATTATGATGAAATGAAAATGGTTTCACACATAAAAGCCTCCTCAGTGAATATCAACAAAAGTGCAAAGACTATGGGAATGTTTTGAAGAAACTAGAAGAGGACCTTTCATCATCTGATTCTTCAATTTCATTGTCTGAATCAGCCGAGGTTATAGTCACATCAGGTTTAAGCTGAGCAGACTGAAGCAATGGTGGCATTACTACACTCATATAAGGAAGAAAATCTTGTCCCAGGCACTTGCATAGTCTAGCCCATGCCTAATAATGTTAAGCAACAAAGAGAAAATTGTGGATTAGGAAAAAATGTACAATTAAGTTTATCTTGCATCACATCACATGATATTTATAAATAAGTATATAAATGATTACTTGGAGCATATAGCTAATAGTAGGGTCATCACTGTCCAATTGTGCTCCTTGTAATGACATAAGCACTTCCATGACCTTAATAAAGACAAAAGGTAACAAAAATGTGGGTAGTTAGTGATTTTTTCCAATATCAGTCGATCACTGACAAAGTTTTAATTAGAAAATGTACCATTCCTCCTCTCTGTAATAAGAAGTGAAGTGAATGGAGAAGGTAAGAAAAAACGAATTGCAACTAGTGCATAGAAATTTACAGGCCATTGACTACAAATAATGCAGTCAACTCATAGTTGAAGTAAACATACATGCATGATGTAAATCTGAAAAGTTTAGGTCAATGCAATGAATCCACATAATACCTGCTTAGCATCATCTCTAAACTTTTCTTTCCCAACAGCCATCCCAACCAAGCTAATGCACTCCATGGCTTTGGCCCGGAGCATGCGGCTGGTTTTGTCATTTGCATTAACAAGGATGGTCTTCAAGTAGGGCATTACAGCATCATAGTATTTTTGGAAGTACTCCTATTGACACATTTCGTGTAAACATATTTCCCATAAAAAACTGCAAACTAATAACAATAAAAAATACAGTATAATTGAAGGTAATACCTGTGATGAATCAGCAACAGATGCCAGTGCAGTTAATGCTCCTTCTTGCACCATTTGCTTGCCATTCTGGATGATTGAGTAATAATGTCATTTATCAATCCAATTTCAACAAGTATGGAAGCATCATAATATTTTTTTATGCAAAGTTTTGCTTATTCAGCATTAATAAAAAGTCTGAATGGGTTCATTTTTTTAATTTAATACCTGCAGGAGTACAAGCAGTTTGCTAACAATTCCATCCAAGTAGGGCGTCAAGATTTCAGGTGTGCAGTTCTCACTGAAGTTAAGGACAGCTGAAGCTGCATGTGCCTGTGTAATCAGAGTGAACAAATGACCAAGTAAATCAAAAGCAGAGGATAATTTGCCGAGAACGGAGGTAGGGTAAAGTGCCAATATGATAGCATCAATGTGACCCTATCAATTTTGGATTAAAGCTAGTTATTGTATCTAGTGTTATCTATCTTGAATCCGTGTGAGTTGTGATAAAGGATTTGAAATGGCAATAAATGACTGCAAGCATTGGTTCTCTAGATGGAATTTAAACTTTCAAAAATAAAAGGTTTTTATTGGGCATACATAGCACGAGAATTTTAGAAATATACATACTTCTTACCAGGACATGAGTAAAACTTAAAAAGGACCAACCTGTACTCGTGGATTCTGGAAGTCATCCATAGCTGTAGACAGAGCTGGCAATACTCGGCTATGGTACTGCATTTGCAGATCTGGTCCCAAGTCAGTAGACAACTGACCTATTGCATTAATGGCGGCCCATCTAACCCGTGGATGAGGATCTTGAAATGAACTCAGAACCATAGTCACTATTTGTTCCAAATTCTTAACCATCACCTATATCAGCAGAGCACACCTGATGTTCAGCTTAATCATCCAGATGACAAAAGGAAATCAAAACTAAGAGATACCACATATGCATTTCATCCTAGAAGTAGATAGTATGAAAATGATTACGTGCTAGTGAGAAGCTGATCCTAATCAAAACATTGAAATTTAATACTTGTAAAATAAATAAATAAATAAAAACGAATTAAAGGTCTCCAGTCTCCTTACAACATAACAATTGGTTACTATGCAGGAGAAAACACAACAAATATTCATTGCTACAAAGAGCTACAAAGCATTTCAAAATACCTTTGAGCAACCTTCCGCAATCTGGGCGAGTGCAATGAGGGCTGCGTGGTGTTTCTGCCATTCTGGAGCAGCTAAGTAAGCAGGAAGCTGCTCTGAGGCAACAGGTACAATGGTATTTCCACCTAGTGCTATGGCTAAACGGTCTAAGCACTCCTGCCCAACACTGTAATTACTGGTTTCACCAGCATCCTCATCTTCCGCGTCTGCCGAATGCCACGCAGGCTCATCTTCAATATCAAGCAACATTTTCAATAATATTGCAAACAATCTGCTAATGAACTGGGGCAGTTTTCTCATCATCCCAGGGGCCCTCTCCCTTGCCTCTGCCAGAGTAATAACAAACTCAATAGCCAGATGCCTGGTCCCTTCCTCCAAACTATCAGCCTCGGCTATCTGGAGCATTGATCCTACAACATCCACAAGCTGCCTCCTCAAGAATCTTGGTTCAGTCCCGGCCAACTCGATTAGCAATTCCAGTGCCTCCTGAGCTGTTACCTCCTGACTACTATTCAGAGACTCGGTCAATGTCTTCATCATAGATGGCAACAGATCCTGAAATCGGTCCCTTTCAGTGGAGCTCGTTAAACACTGAATAAAATTGATGACGGCGCTCAAAGCCGCAATCCTGACATCAGAATGTGGTGAATTATTCAGGGTCTGCAGGAAGACGGAATGCAAATCCTTGATATATGGAACCAGGGTCTCGCCAATGAACTGCGCCAACTGAGCGAAGATCAGAAAAGCAGACTCCTGCAGCTTGGGAGAATCTGAGGTAACGCATTGAAACATAAAAGGCAATATTTCAGGCCACTGATTCTCTGGCAAAATGGAGGAGGCGAGCTCAGATATAGTGTCGCAAAGCTTCTTGGTAATCGTCTTGGCCTCCTCCATCTGGACACAAGTTAGGAGCGTAGATTTGACGCCAGACTGAGTGGACGGGGTTAGATTCGGCCAGATAAACGAATCGTCCCTGGTGAGGAGCTTCCGGAGGAGAATAGCAGCCATGGCGCGGGCTTCGACGTGGACGGACGAGCTGAGGACGTGCGCGAGCCGCAGAACGAGGGCGTTGGGATCGCTCTGCTTGAGGAGGTTGAAGATGGACTCGGCCTGCGATCTCTGCTCGTTGGAGGAAGACATGAGGTGGGAGATTAGGGTTTCGAACGCCGCCGGGTCGGTCCCCATGATCGCGGCGACCTGCGCTTGCTGTTGGAACTGAGCCGACCCGGCATCCATGGCGAACTGGGTAGGGTTTCCTGCTGAAGTCGGAAGACGATCAAGGTCTCCGGCGATGGCGTCTGGTTCAGGGGGGATTTCTCTCTCACGCACAGAGTCACCGAAATGTGCGTGTTTCGCTATGAATATATAGCGGTTTCGACGAGGGCGGGCAGTATAAAGAGGAAACACGAAATGGCAGGGTTTTTGGTGTGTTGTACTTGTGTACCCTTTTTTAATCAAATTAAATATATCCCACCGGTAAAAATTAAAAAAAAAAAAACTTAGGAGCTGTTTGGTAACTTTTGAATAGATAAGTGCTGAACCAGTAAGAGGTCTGAACTATTAAGTGCTGAACCAGTAAGAGATCTGAACCATTAAGAGCTAGTATATTGCTTAACTATTCAGATGTAAATGTCTGATCAATTTAGATAAGAGGTGTTAACCATTCAGACTCTGTATAATACTTAACCATTCAGAGGCAGATTTCTTAACCATTCAGACATCTGGACCATTAAGAGGCTGAAACAAACAGTCTGAACCATTAAGTGCTGAACCATTCAGACATCTGAACCATTAAGAGGCTGAAACAAACAGCCCCTTAAACTTATATTCAAAGAAAAAAAATCATTTGAAGAAAAAGAATTACTCTGTACAACTTGAAAGCATTTACCATGGGAGAGGGGGCTTACAACCATTATAGCAACTCAAAAAAAATCATTTGAAGCATTTTTTAAACATGTTAAATTTCCTCCTTTTATTAATGAAATCATACATAGTTTATAGCGTTGTTCCGTATTTTATTAAAGTTATGATTTTTTAAAACGAAAACTATTAATAGTGTAAATCAAATGGAGATTCGTGGCTAGAGGCCCCATACATGTAGGATAGTTGCTTCAAACTGCGTAAATATATTGTTGTATCATTTTACTGCTTTGTTTTCATATATCTTCTTTTAAACGATGTAGTAGGTGTTATAATACTCTGCAAGTCTTCTCTTCATGTAACTAGTGCTTTAGCATTTGTGTGGCACACTTAGTTGCTCGGTTTGTTGAATGTTATGCAGATCTATCTTGTTTTAGTGTTTGGACTACCCCAAGAAATGTCAACATGTGATAGTAAGGCTAGTGGGTGTCACCACCGCCATCCTCACCATCTTCACTTCCAACTCAGCGTCACATAAACTTTCTCCATGTCATCCACATTCGAAGGTGTGGATCCCCATTTCATCCCCACTCTATTTTTAATTTTTATTCTTGTTTATTACTTTTATAATACTTACATAGTTTTTTAAATTACACTAAAAAAATTGAAATTAAAAAATAAAAACTAAAGTCACTGAAAAAAATCAAAGTTAGCAATTAAAAATTAAGCTAAGAAGAGGAGACTAGAAGGGGAGGATGAAAAAGAAGGAAGAAGAGGACGAGAGCAATTGATTTGAGGAAGGTGATCGAAAAAAAGAGAGGTGATTTTGGCACTCTGGCACTTCACCTTTTTTCAATGGATCATGCTACACTTACACCACAAATTGTACCTCATTTGTACACTGCATTTATACATGAACATTTTGATGGTTTACACCGACACAAGTGTTTGTGCGTTAACAAAAATTACAGGGACACAAAGTGTTGGTGCATTGATTAAAATTAGTTTTACACCAACACAAAGTGTCGGTGTAAACCTGCGGGGTACAAAGTGGGGTACAAAAGTTGGGGTACAAATAGCTTTATCCTTTTTCAATAGAAACTACTTGGTCCGTCCCTGAGTGTTTGTCCACATTTGACTTTTGGAACTGTTCATCTAAGCAGTTTGACTCATCAAATTCTTTCAATGTGTAAGCCTAAAAATAGTCATGTGTGATCTTGTTTGATTCGTCTTAACATATAGATTATTAATATATAATTTTTATAATTTTTTAATATACAAATTATAAGATAAAATGGATTAAAGAAGTGCATTGGATGGTGTGCAAAAATGAAAGTAGACAAACACTCAGGGACGGAGGGAGTATAACCTTTCTTTCACTGATAGCACACTCAAATAATGTTATCTCATATTATTTTATAATTTTATACTCTATTCTTCTTAATTTTGTTTACAAAGTTGGGATACCAGACAAAGTCTCTCATCTTTTGAAATCAAATTATTTATAAATTGGTATGTCAATTCAAAATAAAAATTACACATTAAAAAATTACATCAAAAGTTTTAGAAAACAAGAGGTGATAAGAAAATCTCATTTTATCAAATAATAATTGAAAGCACACAAATAAGCAAACATTATCAAGAGGTGAAAGAAGAAAAATTGTAATCAATTTCGAGATGGAGAGAGTATATTTTTTAAAAAATTTTATGATTCATTTGTTTCACTTTTGTCTTTTTTTTAAACTTAATATAAGTCATATACATTTTATTTCCTAATTTACATGTCACTAAATTCAGAGCTGCGAGAATTACAGAGGCATCAAACTGCTTAGCCACATCATTAAGGTTTGGGAGCGAGTCATCGAGTATAGACTGCGGAAAGGGGTGTGCGTTTTCGAGAACCAGTTTGATTTCATGAATGGCAGATCGACCAAAGACTGATTTACCTCATGCGGAGGTTGATGGAAGAGTATATAGATGGGAAGAAGGATCTCCTTGAGTACGATTGCTTACACTTGTGGGATCATGGATATGTACAGCGGGCAAGGACCAGGGTAAAGACCGTCGGAGGCGACTTTGAACCTTTTTATGTAAGGGTGAGATTACATCAAAGGTCTGCCCTTAGCCCTTTCTTGTTTGTCTTGGTGATGGGCGTCCTGACGCAGAGAGTTGAAGAAGATGTCATGTAGTGCATGTTTTTTTGTAGATGATAATGTGCTTATCAACGACACACACGAGGGAATAAACGATAAGTCAGAATTTTGGCGTCTTTCATTGGAGACCAAAGGAATCAGACTTAGTAGAACCAATACTGAATACATGGAATGCCACTTTAGTGGTCGGGAGACAGTTTCATTGTGCACTGTGTTGGAGCAACGTGGGCTAAGTGGAGGTTGGCATCAGGAGTGTTGTGCGATAAGAAGATTTCACCCATGATGAAAGGTAAGTTCTACCGGCCTGTAGTAACACCAGCTATGCTCTACGGGGCGGAGTTTTGGGCGTTAAGAAAATTCACATCCGTCATATGCATGTGGCGGAGATGCGGATGTTACAGTGGTTGTATGGTTAGACGATGATGGATAGAATTTTGAACGAGGTTATTCAAGATCGGTTAAGCATGGCGCCAGTGGAAGATAAGCTTCTGGATGCTAGGTTGAGGTGATTTGGCCATGTGAGACAGCAGAATGCAGACGCTCCAATGCGGATCGGAGATGCGAGAGACTTATGTTGGTAGGGGGATGTAGGGAAAGGGGTAGACCTATGAAGGCTTGGAGTGAGGTGGTTAGAAAAGACTTAGTACTTTTGTTATTACTGATGATATATAAGACTTGATAGGAGCATTTGAAAAGGTAAGATTAGAGTAGCTTGCTAAGAGTTTTGAGCAAGGGGGTGTTGTGTGCTCTGTAAGCCTCTTTATGCTTGGTGCTATTTTCCATTTGATTGCAATACTCTCGTTTCGTAACATTACTTGATTTAGTTTAGTTTTTACTCTATGTGCTTTGTGCTTGATTTGAGTTGTACATGTGTCTTCCTTACCTTTTGTATATATTGTGATCCTTTTTATGTGTAGCTCGAGCCGATGGTCTAATGGAAATACATGGTCTGCGTACACACACTCTACCTAGACCCTACTTTCATGAAATCCAATTAGGTTGTTGACTTGTTGTTGTTTATTTGTTACACTTCACTAACTTATTTTTCAGATAGCCAGATAAAAGTAACACATTTTTTTATTAATCGTAATTCAAGAAATTAACGTAAATAATTTAACATGTGCTCGATTAAAACAAAATAATTTTCCACTTATTTTATAATCTGAAACTAACCTAAGTGATGCGTCTCCCAAGCATAATTCGGGGAGTAATTATATTAATTTCCTTTAGAAATTACGGAGTATTGTTTTAGCACAATTTATTTTATATAAATCGTTCTTTTAATAATTAGAAAGATCATTTCATATAGCAATTTTTAAAGGAAAATTAGGAGTGTTTGTGTCCAAGTTACTTTTTTGGATAACTTGTGATTATTTTCATGATATGAAGCAAAATAAATTGATCGAGCAAATGTTGGAATGTCAATTTAATTTTTTTCTTTGATTTAATATTGATATAAAATAGTGTCCCTTGGTCTTAATATTTTGAAACATATATAGCATGATTTAGTGACATGTAAATTAAGAAATAAAAAATGAGATTTATGATGTTAAAAAATAAAAATAACAAATAACAAAGATTGCGAATCACACAAATATTACTAATTTAATATAATTTGAGACAAAATAGTAGGACGTATACACAAAATTTTAAGAAAAGAAAAAAAACAGTGAAACAAATGAATCATAAATTATTCGAATAAAAAAAAACAAATTTTAAAAATAAATGTTACAGAGTATGTTTTTAGTCATTTCGTTTTTAAAAAATACAAAACTGTTGAGGAAAAAATGTGATAGTAAGAGTAAATTGTTATATTTTTAGTCATTTCCTTTTTTAAAAAAAATCAAAACGATTGAGCAAAAATGTGATAGTAAGAGTACATTGATTTGTTTTTGTACATAAGAATACATGCATTCATTTGAGTAAAGGGCAATAGTGTCTATTCAAATAAAAAGTTAAATGTAGAGTTCCAATATCATCTCCCAAAAAAGTGGAAAATTATTTTGAATTTTTAAAGTGGGAGTCAATTTCTAAATTTTAACCCTCGTGTTTTCATTGACCAATGTTTTCTTTTCCATTGACCATAATCTCCATATTTTATCAACCAATGGAAAATCAGGAAGTTATTTTCCTAGTTTCCAAACGGAGCCTAAATTTAATAAGAAGAAAATGGTTTTATTTTCTTTCCACTCATCATCCTATCCATACAAGCACAAGGAAGATAAATACTCCGGATCATTTAAATTTCTCACGTCCTCTTAATGTATTTCATTACACCTTTCTTCTTATAAAATTCTTGACACGATGACTTGACGAGGTTTAAAAAATTGTTACCTC